GCCGTCCAGTGGTCGACCTTTTCGCCAGTGCAGGAAACGCACAGTGCCCGTCCTGGTTCGCCTCAAGGGCCGCGGACGAGCCGCCCTTAGGCGTGGACGCTCTGGCTCATTACCCCTGGCCAGGCGGCCTGTTGTACGCTTTCCCACCAGTGCGCCTCCTGCCGGTCCTGCTGCGGAGGATCGAACAGGAGAGGAGGTCGGTGATCCGGGTGGCGCCGGACAGTCCGCATGCCCGGTGGTTCCCCTTCCTGAGGGGCATGGCGGGGGCTCTAGTCCGGGGGGGGGGGGAGGAGCCCTGTTTCACGCCCGAAAATCGGCCGCAGGCTCTGGGTTGGAGGCTGAGAGGCGGAACCTCGTAGGCCTGGGTCTTCCCCCTGCGGTGGTGGAGACCACTCAGGGGGCGAGGGCGCCGTCCACATTGAGGGCCTACGCCACGAGGTGGAGGCTCTTCAGCGACTGGTGCGGTTTTCGTTCCTGGGATCCCAGGCGTTGCCCGCTGGAGGGGGTCCTGGGATTCCTACAGGAGCTCTTTGACAAGGGGAGGGCTGTCGCCACCTTGGCGGTGTTCGCGGCAGCCATTACTTCGGGTCACGACGGATTCGGGGGGTTCACAGCCCGCTCTCATCCGTTGGTTAAACGTTTTCTGCGGGGGGGCACGCAGGAGGAGGCCCCCGCTCCAGAGAACGCCCCCGGTTTGGGACCTCAGGGTGGTCCTTAGGGGGCTGTCGGGTCCGCCTTTTGAACCGGCGGCGGAGGCGAGTCCCGAGTGTGACGCTTTAAGACGGCCCTCTTGTTGGCGTTGGCGTTGGCGTCTGCTAAGAGGGCGGGCGACTTGTGTGCGCTCTCTGTCCATGCGTCTTGCCTGCCCTTTGGTGAGGGCGACGGCATGGTGGTATGGTGGCCCAATCCGGCTTTCTCCCCAAGGTCATCACGTCGGCCTTTAGGTCGAGAGTCATCAGGATTAGGGCTTTCTATCCGCCACCGCATGCCTTCCCCGAGGAGGAGCGGTGGCACCTTCTGTGTCCTGTCAGAATGCTGAGGCATTACCTGGCCATGACGTCGTCATTCAGGTTGGGTGGTCAGCTGTTTGTGTGTCTGGGCCCCAAGAACAGGGGCGCCCCGCTGTCGGCTCAGCGGCTGGCGCACTGGGTCGCCACGGCTGTGCGGCGGGCGTATCAGACATAGGGTCTGGCCCTCCCGGTGGGCTTCAGGTCGCATTCCACGCGTGGGATGGCGGCCTCTGCGGCCCTTCTCAGGGGGGTGTCGGTCGAGGACGACTGCCGTGCGGCTTCTTGGGCGTCGTCCTCCTCTTTCGTCCGGTTTTATCTTTTGGATGTGTCGGACCGGTCGGTGGCCCATTCCGTGCTGAGTGCAGCGGACTGAGTTAGACCGTTAGGTCCCTCCTCTGAGGGGGCCTTCGTTTTACTTTCCGCCCTGGTTCAGGAGCTCTTGGGAGAGGCATCCTACAGGTGCGGTACATATATGTGTGTTTGGTCGGTCAGGTAGTCCACGTCAGGAGCCCTTGGGAGAGGCGTCCTGTGACTACGGATGACCTACATCTGTGTTACATGGGGGTATCCTTGGTAGGAGTGGCCCTGTAACACGCATTGTTTCTTCTGCCCTGAGTCCCCTCACTGTGTGAGGACCTTGCTCGGGCGGAGCTCCAATCACCCTTCGCTGGCCTGCTGGGAGTACATGTTCCTACGGCCTCCGCGTTGTGTCCCACTAGCGAAGTCCTAAGGGACGTAGCACCATGACGTAGAATTAATAGTTACCTAATGTAACTTAAGTTCTACGAATAGGTGCGTAGTCCCTTAGCTACGAGCCCATCAGGCCAGCCCGGCTTGGCAGAGTTCAAGAGGGGGTGCGGCCTTGTGCAGGGGCATTTATAGAGGAGGGTGGCTGGTGATTGGAGCAAATTATTTTGATCTCTCTGGCGTGTGACCTGGGGGTCACGTGATATCCCACTAGCGAAGTCCTAAGGGACTACGCACCTATTCGTAGAACTTAAGTTACATTAGGTAACTATTAATTATCTGTCCTGTGTTTACAAATGACTGTTTGGAGTATGAACATCTTCACAAGTTCTTCAGCTTTTTTTCTGTGGTTGGTTTATACATGATCAGACCAGAGACCACCATCTCTCTGTGGTACGATGGCTGTACACTCCTGTGATATCTATCTTTGAGCGAGATTATTCGTTTTTTATTGATTGAAATGACTAAGGTTGAATGTTGTTCCCAGGGAATAAATCAGACTGTGCAGGTCTGCATTTCTCATCCACATATCTCTGGAATTGTTGCACGTCAAACGAAAAGGCAATGTGTCAGAGATGTAACCTTTAAATCAGACGACTGAGCCTCCTTTGTTTTTTCAGAAATGTTATGTGAAATAGAACAAGGTGGAGCCACGAAACTTTAGAATAGATTGATGACTACACTAATAAAAATCTATAACAGTTAGAAAGAAATCTGAAATATGAGCCGTATAATAATGCCATATTTTCTTACCAGAGAGCCTTGGATTTTTGTTATTCAAAGCTATTTCTTTTCTTTCCCTGTCTAAAAAAAAACCAGTTAGCTAATTAGTAGAAGGCAGAAGTCCAGCAGAAAGGATGCAGAGAGGAGAGCCATGGTCCTGTATAAATACTTTATTATTAGACTTTATACACATATTGCAGTCGGGTACAGATGACGGTGACGTTTGCATTGTAATCATTTGGCATTTTTGTACAACCAGAAACAAACACAGGAGTGATGTCAAATCTAGGCACTATAGTTATGCTCATTTGCAGTGTGCGGGAAACCAAACTCATCGCTGACTATTGGATGAAAGTGTCCGTTTATTGAAAGGAAAAGGCTTGTGGCTTCTGAAGTTCATCTTGTGTGTTGTTTTGTGTCCTTTTGGAGCAGTCTTGTGCCTCTGAAAACCCCAGCTGAGACCCTAGTGCTTGAACAGAACATGCCGCAGGAGCTAACAGTTGTAGGCTACATGCATAGAAGAAACTTGCTATAAACTCTCCAAAAGGTAGACAATAAAAAAAATCAAAAGTATGGGAAGTTCAACAGCTGCTGCAATGAACTCGATACAAGCTGCGATGGTGCAACATGTCTAAACTAGCATTTTGCTTTAATATAATCATAATTTATCCAATAACAGTTTATCAAGTGTTACAGTTAAACTAGCTAAATAAACACGTCCCATTACATGTGAACACAAACATTAACAACAGGGTCCTCCTCAGAGCTAAACCTACAAATGTGCTTTAATACATTATTACAATACAATATTGCATCCCAACCAAAAGCACAGGTCTATGTTTGTTAAAGTCACTCTACGGGGACCGCCTTCTGTGTTATTGCTCTATAGAACACTAAATGTTCTTTTTTCAGTACTTTGTCAGTAATGTTTAAATTAAACTGCGGTAATTTATTTTCTTGGTCTCAATAATGAGTTTCTTGGTCATTTCCTTAATTTTGCACCTTTGAGTTACAGTATGTAATATGCCCAAGTTATTTAGAACCTAGTTTTGGAAGTTTGGTCCCCAAGAGAGGACAAAATACAACAGTTGGTAATTATCTTCCAATAAATGAGCTCCAGGGTTCATAATGTGGGTGTAAAATAAAGTGCTTTATGAAAGCACTTCAGAAAACACTTTATGGCGCACTCTGAGTTTGACAAAGTTGTGGAAAGTGATACTTGGCATTTTATTCTCCTCAGATTGACTTTCACTTGAGTCAGGCTAACGGCTCTATTTCAAAGACACAGATGAAGGTGTTGTTGATAGAAGTGATAATCTTGAGTATAGTGCTTACAGCGGGGATGACCATGGCAGAGCTCTCACTCTCAGAGTCTCTGCGTCACTTTGGCTTGGACAACATGATGGACATGAACAGGACATTCAGGGAGGAACAACAACGTTTAAAAATAAAGTGGCAGTGATGTGTATCATAGATCAGTAAACTAAAGGCCTGTTAAGAATCATAAAGTACACAGAAAGGTTTGTTCTATAGGGAAATGTTGTAAATGCTGATTCCCATTATCCATTTTAAAGCTGCAGGCCACCTGAGAGAGAATCAGTAGATTGGCAGGTTATATGCTCTATATAAAATTATATCGATTCCAACATATTTTGTTTACTTTTGTAAAGTAAACTGCAAACATTGTTTTCAACTTCAGTGGACCCAACCATACACTATAATCCAACCAACGAGATGTGACCTATACTTTTCTTGTTACGTCTTTTATGAACACTATTGATTCGTGCTGCTTTGGGCAACACAAATGTAAAGATCGATGGCTTTGCTTGGACAAAGTCATTTGTTTCACTTCTGGAGTTTTTAGAGCGAAATCTGCTTCTCACTGGGACTAATTATTTGAGATGACAAAGAAGAAACTGTAAATTATGGCTTGGGTCTATTTTTCTTAAAGGATTGCGGTTTCAAATACTGATCCTTTATAAGTGTTTTAAACTACAATAGTTTCAAACCTACAGATGAATTCAACTATCCAGCTATACTACATTTGAAAGTGCCCACTGTCTCTTATAGCTCCCTGAATTTCGTTTACTCTCATTCGATCAGTGGAGAGATTTCAAATGCTCATTTTGGGAAGACGCTACTCTACTTGTATAGTTCTATAGTTCTATGCACTTATTGAGTATAAGCATATAAAATCTGTAGACTGTCCTTCTCTTCTCCCTTTGCACTCATTCCCATCCATACATTCACATAGTCAAACGTCAAGCAAGAAGGCAGAGCGTAGAAAGTGCTCCACTGCACAGATTTCTTCACCAAGATCACAAGTTGGACGATAACCTCGATCTCACTTTGTAGTCCGTGTCCGAAAGGCTCCCTATCGAGTCCTTTTTGGGTAGCCCCGAGTCTCCCAGTCCTTGTCCTGAACTTCCGACAGGTGTAAATGCTTGAAAGGGCAAAGATGCTGGGGGTAAAGCACCAGCCGACAATTGATGCGGCAACATCACCCTTTGAGGAATGGCGCTACGGACTGCAGCTTGTCCGGATGTCATCTGTGAAGGAGGTCCTATCGAAGTAGAGGAAACTCTTGTGGACTGGGGCGGGCTTGGAACAGCCGGCAGGAGTCCTTCGTGAGGCAGAGAAGGCTGTGATGCCGATAGCGCTCTTACATCCTGGTTCAAGGTTCCCATTTGCAAGGAATGGGTGCTCTTGTAGGTGCTTGGTCGATGAATTGGGCTTGAAAGATGATGTTGGACTAGGGAAAGCTGCGATCCAGAGGTGGGGCCGGTGAGTCCGCTCGATCCATACTGGAAAGATCGACCTGCTGTTGCTGCTAAGGGGGTTTGGATGGGCGGGCTGGACATCACCGAAGCGAAGGCAGCGGGGGAGATGAGTTGCGACTGGAACGGAGACGCAGAAACGGGGCTGTGCTGAAAGCGTCGCGGCATGCGAGGAGACTGCAGACTCCCCTGGTTGGGTGTGCAGAAGCTCATGGCCACGGCTTGTTGCAGTGTGGCGATGGCCGAGTTGTGTTGTTGTTGGTGGTGCGAGGAAGGGGGAGGAGGCAGGAACACCCCCCCAGGAAGCGGAGGGGTGAGGGTGCACAAGGACATGGCACGGGGTCTTGGCGTCTCCACGTGTTGCACCATCTCTCGGTCGTACTTGACGATTTCTTGGATCATCTCGTTCTCGCGGTTGTTAAAAACGCCCGAGTTGAGGTCGTGCTGAACCTTGTGCATCAAGATGGAGTTCTTCTTTCCTGCAATGACAAGGGAGATGTTAGAGAACTTTCACGTATTGGTTTTCGTTTACCAGGACTTACTGTACTGGTTCAGGAACACATATATTTTACTCTTTTATTTTTGCTGATAGAATTGATAACCACCAATTCTCTGGAAATGTGAAACTATCCCTCTTTCAATCAAAACCAGTTTAAACTCAACTCACAAGAAATATGGCACAAAAAATTTCTAAAAAGTTAATGATAAGTTGTTTTAGAGTAAATAGTAAGGGTTTAACTGCACCGGTTCTCATCGCACCCCTGGCCAATGGACTAAAAAGACATTGATTTATTGTTAAATTGTAAATGATTATTTCTATTTAGAAAAGTTGCTGCTCATGTTCTCGTCCCTGGTAGCCATCCATTAGGAAAAAAAAAGATCTTGAAATTGCAAAATAAAACTCATAGTTGTGCATATTTAGGATGCTAAATCCTGAGAAAGAGAATAAAATGGAGTACTGCTTCAATACATTTCCAGATTTTGACAATTGTAGGACTAAAAATAAGGCTTACACCATGTCCAAATGTACATTATAAACCAGGGCTCTCCAACATATAGCTCGGGAGCCAACAGTAGCTCACCCGCCACTTTCAGGTAGCTCCCCAAAGGATTTAGAATTGAACACATGGTCCTGAATGAATAGATTTTTGAGTCGTTACATATCTATACTAAAAGTAAAAATGTTAAGGTCATACAGCATTTTTGTATATTTACAGGTGTTCTCCATGTCGGTTCTCTCTTGTCTTAATTATTGCATAGATTTTTATCATGACTACAAAAAAGGAGTTGCTCTCTGCCTCGTCTGTTGTATAAAAGTAGCTCTCCGATTGAAAAAGCTTGGAGACCCCTGTTATAAACATATAATTGTTGGTTCTCTTTTCTAACACCCTCCTTTAGAATGTGTCAGTGGTGGAGGATGCAGATCACAAGGAGCAGTCCCACTCACAACAGAGAAAAAGAGGCTGCTTAATGGGCTTGTGACCCAAAACTTTCACAATGGATCAATGGAATTATATTTTTAGAAACTTAACATAAACTATAGGCACATACTACGACATAAGTTATTCAATTTTTATCCCTGAACTGCTTCCACTCGTACATAAAACACTTATGAGGGCAGCTACAATTCCTGGATTTAAAATGTCGACTCAAATGTTTGTTACATTACTGTTACTGTCTCAGCCTATGTGAGAGTCATCAGATCAGTAACTTTTGAGGCTATATACATCACGGCGTGAACGAAATGATCATGTCTCTCACCTATCAGCTGACGAACGCTGTGTTTGGAGTGTCAACAGCTGCAGCGATATCACAAAGTCCATTTTGGGAAATCTCTAATTGGAATTCTGCATCCCTATAACTTTAGTTCCAGGGTTCTTAGACTGCCAATGTCTATATGGTGATGGTGGTACATATATGAAAACGTTTTTTTATCAGACCTTTGTAGCCAGATTTTAACCAGATTAATTCATTACATTAGAATGGCTCACACCCGACTAAATATTACAAGTGATGGAAACCGTTATTTTTCTCGTAGGAGAGGGGTTGTTTACGATTGTCCATAGCTGTTGAGGCTGTACATAGCCTTGTTGTGGTTAAAACAGAACAGAACTGAACTGAACCACAGCATTGTTTGAATTCATTTGGGCCCTTAAACATGAACTTGATCTACCATTGAGAAAAGATTTTAGAATGTGGAATTATTTATTGTATAGAGATTATACATGTGAGTACCTCCATCTGGTAGAACTGTGAAATGACTGCAATTGAGTAAAAATGAAAAAATGGTGCAAAGTAATTTAATAAAGCAAAGAGTTCCAAAGAATGTATAGACTGAACAAATACAAAACATTTTGGAAGCTATACTATAATGTCTCTATAATGTCAGAGAGATGGATGGTTCCAGGAAGAATAGATAAGTAGATATCTATAGATAGGTCCAAATAGATAAATAACTCTATCTCCTATGGATTTGCCATTACGTAACGAGTTTTAAAATGGCCTATTTAGACAGAAGGGGTGGAGGTGTTGAATCAGGTGAATACAGCCCAAAAAACAACTCCTGGTATATTTTGTGATTGATGAACCAAACAAAATTGCATGAAATTCCTTTAGTTAATTCAAAACTATCTAAATGTGTGTACCCCAAAGTCAATATGTAAAGATTGTCTTTCGTCACAAGAATAAGCTCACAATTGTATTTTAACCCAAGATCACCCAGTTATATGCTTAAGCACTTACAAGAACCAATTAGCAGGCACTATATTTTTAGTGCAATCAAAATTATTCAAGCGGTCCATTTAATTAACATCAGGTAGGTTACAAATGATTGATGCACTTAGGCTCAGTAAAGTGCATGGCTGATTAATGTCGCCTCAATTGTCCTTATTTTAATTATTTCCCATTTTTGAACCATAACCGCAGCTCGATGTATCAAAAGCCACTCTTCATGATGTGGTCCGTGGTCATATAGCATGTGGCTGGCCCTGGACTTCAGGACAAAATCCCCATCGTTGCCCATTGAACGGATCATCCACAAAAGTAGCATTTATAGTAACAGTATAGGAGACTGTTATGGGGAATAGAAGACTTCAAAGTGCTCCGTGAGCTGGGCCAACAGGATCATGAGTCATTACCCTCTTAGCATGGACATAAACCAATGGTAGAAAGCCTGGTCAAGGTGTGACTGATGTCAAATCCTGCTGTATCCTGGATGGTAGCGTATGGGCTGTCTTTATTTGAACATGGATAGAGTACAATGTAAGGAAGGAAGCCTTGTACCAGGCTTTAGTAGAATTACTCATTTCCAGCAGTAGTCTCTGGGCACGTCATGACAACAGATGAAAAACTTAAGTTGAGGTAAAAATGTAAGGTAAAAAATGTATGAATGAATGAAGCAGAACCCACATCGAATTGGTTTGGTATTGAGCTCTAGCTTTGGTGAAATGCACCTCTTTTGGGTAATGTTTATGGTACACTGTCCCTTTATTACAAAATAAACAAGGATAACAATAATAATAATGATAACAATCATTTTTTTTAACAATGAGACAATTTACTTACTAATGTGAAATAATTAGGGCTGTCAAAATTATCGCGTTAACGCACGTTAATTAAAGCTGCACTAACTGACTTTATTTTCGTATTAATTACGAAAATGCTATCCATGTCCATGCAGTGCATTGGGATATACGTCCTTTTGAAGAAAAAGTAGCGCAGATTTGTGCTGGCCTGACATTATATTTTTGATCGAGTTTTGATGAAACAAGGAAGAGAATGTGTTTCGGGTCGCAGATTGTGACCAATCACAGCGCACCACTGGCCCCCACTTTCGTGAGAAATCTCCAGGTCCGTTAGCATAGACGGCTGAGTTAGCACAACAAGCGGCGGAGCTAACCCGAAGCTTTCTCGTCTTCGTCACCGGTTACTGCTTACACAGCAAAACAGCCATCCAAAAGAAAGTGTCGTTCCTCCGCGCTTCCCGGTTCTATCGTTCTATGGTCACGCCATCCACGTGAAAATCCATGTCCATGTATTATCCATATTGGGAGACGCTAGCTCCGTCTCAACACTGTGTGTGTGTGGGGGGCGATGGCTTCGTGGGTGCGGGGAGGGGAGCAGAAAGAGCGAGGCCGGCGAGTCCGCGGCTTCAAAATCCCAAAGTCAGTTAGTGCAGCTTTAAATTTCTCATTAGTTGTCCAAGTGACCCACCCATGTATCCCATCATATCAGTCAGGACACATGCGGGAGATGGCAACAGAGCAGGTCTCTGGGAATTCAAGTTTTAAAAGAACATGCGTGTGTCTGCGGGGAACTTTCTGTTGTTTGCTATGGAGTCCGCATCCTCCGTGGCCGCAGCGTTCTGACCCGGGGCAGCTGCGGCCGCTAACAACAACACAGGGCGGCACGGTGGCTGAGTGGATAGCACTCTCGCCTCTCAGCAAGAAGGTCCTGGGTTCGAATCCCGGCCGGACCAGGGCCTTTCTGAGTGGAGTTTGCATGTTCTCCCCGTGTCTGCGTAGGTTTCCTCCGGGTACTCCGGTTTCCCCTACCACTAAAAATATGTACAATAGTTCTGGCATGCGCCTCCTGTACTGGCGACCCCGCTCCCATCTCTGTGTGGAGTGAGAGGACAAGTGCCCAAAAAATAACAATTGTAAACCGCTTTGAGACTCTGGTCTGTGAAAGGCGGTATATAAATAAAGCTTACTTACTTACTTACTTACTTACACAGCGAATGGTGCCGCAGTAACGTGGTCATATCCAAGACTAGACACGCACAGGACTATTCTCTGCATGTTGTGTGTGTGTCTTTGCGTAACCTGTGCAGCAATAAATACACCACTGAACTACTATGGAGCTGAAAATTATGGAGCCTCACGAAGTGTCCGTGTCTCCTCCTGTCTTCTCTTGAAACACAACTAAACTCGCTAAATTAAAGCTGGGATCTAAAAACTACACACTTTAATGATGAAGACGTATGACTATACCATACACTTTACATAGATGTTCACTGCTAACCACCTAGCTCAATTAAGCTCAATAGGAAAGTGCTCATGGAAGAAGTTTTGCTCTGTCGCCTAATGAATTTTTTACTGTCATTTTAAAGTAAACTTCTCTATCTCTCTAACCATTTGTGTGACACAATTCACTCATCATTTTGTGTTTAAAAAATCTGTGGTTGAGCCCTATCTATAATCCTGTGTTTATATTTGTATTGTGTCTTTGTAAAAAAAAAAAAAGTATAGTGATAATAATAATAATAACAAGAACAATATAGATAGTTATAACAAAATAATAATACTGTTCTCATTAGTTGTTATCTATCGGCTTCACAACAGGTCTGAGCATGCATGCAAACAGGCAACATTTTGATTGACTTGAACGTTTTGAGTTTGTATCACGAAGCTCAGTTTGGACAGTATTCATATTCTGGACATGGACACTGTCAGTTTTGGAATGATCGCATGGCTTATTA